AGAGAGAGAGAGAGAGAGAGAGAGATGGGGGGGCAGGGAGGGAGGGAAAATCTCAAGCAGGCTTCACACCCAGTGAGAAGCCCGACGCAGGACTTGATCCCATGACTCTGGGATCATGACCTGAGCCAAAATCAAGAGTCAGATGCTCCAGCCACCCAGGTGCCCTGTAACTATTGTTTCTTGTGGCTCTGGTTTTGCGTTTGTGTTGTTTGGTGTGGTTGGTAGTGTCTTGTGTATGTATTTAATGTTTAATACAAGAGAGAGAAACTTGACAGTTTTTATAGCAAAAAACCTACATTATCTAAAACATGTTGTTCCTTAGTCATTTTTTTTTAAAACTGTTATTTCCAGATAATTCTGGACGAATGGAACAGTTGCAAAAACAATGCAGAATTCCCTTAAACCTCTCACCCCACCTCCCCTAGTACAGTAATCAAAAGCGGGACATCACTGTTGGTATGGTGCAACAGCTGGGCTGGAGATCGTACCCAGTCTCTTCAGTGTTCTCACCAGTGTCCTTTTCCAGTTCCAAGATCCAGGACCCCATGTTGCAGTTAGTTGTTATTTCTGCCTAGTCTTCTCTAGGCTGGCACAGTGTCCTAGCCTGGAGTCTCTTTCTCATCTTTCGTGACCTTGACATTTTTGAAGAGTACTGAGCATTTATTTTCTGGAATCCCTGTCAGTTTGGATTTGCATGATGTTTTCCCATGATTAGAATGGGCTGATGCATTGATGCATTTTGGGAAAGAATACCACAGAATTGCTGTATACTTCTCAGTGCGTCGTATCACGGGGTTTGAGATGCTAATGTCTGATCACTGGCGAGGTTCATCTTGGTTAAGGTGCCAGGGTTTTCGTATAAAGTTACTGTCTTTCCCTTTGTAGTTGGTAAATATCCTTGGGGGGAGATATTTTTAGAGTGCAGATACTCCCCTTCCCTTCAGGATTTGCCTCCTAACGTTAGCATCCCTCAGTGGATCTTTTGTTTTTTTCTTTTAATTAATTAATTTACTTTGAGAGAGAGAGAGAGAGAGAGAGCGAGAGAGCGCACAAGCAGGAGAGGGGCAGAGAGAGAGAGAGAATCCCAAGCCAGCTCCACACTGTCAGTGCGAGGAGCCCGATGCAGGGCTCGAACTCATGAACTGCAGGACCATGTGTGACCTGAACTGAAATCAAACATTTAACTGACTGGGCCACCCAGATGCCCCTCCCTCAGTGGATCTTGTCTGCAGCAGTTACTCAGGTGTTTGCTTAATACTTTTCTCTTTTCTCTTTTTTTTCCTTCATTAAATGGAATCTTCTGTAAGGAAGAACTGTCTTTTCTCGCTCATGTATTTATTTATTCAATTATTTATGTACATCAATGTGGATTCATGGCTCTATATTTTGTTCTGTGGGTTAAAACCCCGTGCTATCCTTTTTAGTTTGTTAGTTTGATCATTAGGAGCTCCTTTACTTAGGCCCTGTGTTCTTTCTAAAAGCCTCCGTCCTTTTTTTTTGAACCTTTCCTTACCTTCTAGTACCATAGGATGTTCCAGGCTTGTCTAAGGTTTTCCCTGCACTAGACCTGGAATCCAACACTCTGCAAGGAGCCCTGGTTCCTTTATTGGAGAATGGTGTTTAGAAATCAAGATTTGGGTGCTAGGGTGCCCATTGCTACTGAGGTGACATTGCTGTGAGTCTTCAGTGGGTAGATTTAGGAATCTTTATGTGACTACCAATCCCCACATATAAGAGCATCTGTATATCTATGTCAATCTGTATATGTATTAAAAACCTTGAACTTATGCCGATACTTCTGATTCCAGTCCCACACCACAGGGCTCATTTTAGCCTTTCTTGATTTGTAACTTTTCTCCAACAGGGAGAAACTCAGACCTCATTGTTTACAGTATGTTAACTTATGTGTTAGATTCTAGTATAAACATAAAGCACTTTTAGAATTGCTAACCCATATGCCCATTTGCTTATTTACTAACATTTGCTAACTGGATCACAGTTCTCTTTGTCTTTGGCTTTACAGCATCCAGTCCAGACATTGTTCTCCAGTTACTTAGGTCAGGTCTTTTCCACTGGCTTCGTTGTGATCACGTTATTCATTTGTACTACAGAAAGGGCCATGTGTCAGCGTTTGTATTTCCTTCTGATTTCCCTTCACTTACATCCCGGTCAGTTTGTTTATTTTTTGGGTACTTGAAGACCACGTGAAACATGACTGGCTCTAAGAGTCAGAGCTCCACAAAATCATCTACTCAGAACATTGTCACTCCCTCTTCGTCCCCTGCTGCCCTGTTTCTATTTCTCCCTTTTTCCTGCCAATCCTTCGTAGACCGGCATTCTCTCTAGTTCCTTCCCTTATTTCTTTTGAACAAGTGAGCAGGTACGTTTTTATGTAGTGGCATTTTTGTTCTTTTTTTCCTACTGTAGAATACGTACTCCTGGTGAAACAATGTAGACGTTATAAAAATATATAACTGATAACCACTGTTATCCACTTTAGGCTTTAAAAATGTAAACGATAAAATAAATATACAACAAATGAATACATAAAGCAAATAAATATGTAAATAAATCAGATAAATACACATAATCAAATTTTTTGTGTACTGATGTAATGGCGTATGTACACGGACAAAACCCAGTTATTTTTATTTAATCTGACTAAGATGTTTTGTATGGTTGATATTTACATTGAGTTGGCTCGGCGTGTACTTTAAAATTCTTTGTTCTGTGGATTCAGCAGCGTTCTGTGTGACCCACGGATAGCTGTTTATTCCTCCAGGCAGCACTGGCACCTGGAAATTAGTAAGACCGGAGCGTCAGAATGTTGACCATGTGCCTTGGTTCTTCTGATTATTAGCTCTGATGTGAACGCAGGCAAATTACCTAACACTTCCAAGCCTCAGATCCCTCATTTGCGAAATAATTTCCAAAATGTCTGCTGGGATCAGAACCCTCTGTTACTAACTTTGTCGGCGATTTTGACACAAGACGAGGTTACCTTGGGGGAAGTGGGTTCTGGAGAAGTGGTGTCGCGTGCAAACTTAGGTGTGCTTTTTTCTGCAGTACCTTGCAGAAGCTGGCTGGACGGCCGAAGGAAGAGTCGTGGGAGTGACCCAGCCCCGAAGAGTGGCAGCTGTCACAGTGAGTCTCTTTTCCGTGTTGCAAAAACTCCATCTGCATCTTCTGTTTTCAGTGGCTTATTTTGTTTTCTTGTTTCCTGAGAGCTCCAAGTGAATATGAAGTGGCTCCTTAAGTATTTTAATTCCTCAGTTTAAAAAGAGCTGTGACCTGCTTACTTTTGCAAAGTTGGTGCTTGTATGAGCTTGACGAATTTTTTAAGTAGTAATAAAGTACAGAGGAAATCACAACAAACAAAAAATAATGAAAAAACGAAAATCTCATCGCCCAGTGAAAACCTTTAAACATTTGTGAACACCGTTCCAAGCTCTGCTTTTATGTTCACGTAAAGATGAATCGGTTGGATGGACGGGAGTAGTTCTGCAAACATGGGGTCCCGGCTGTGCATTTGCCTTTGTTGGATTTAACAAAAGGGGAAACTGGAGTGAAGCAGGAGTCGGTGCTGAACGCGGGAGAGATGGGTGTTCGCCACAGGAAAATGTATGAGAGCTTAAAAACTAAGAAAAAAGATTCCAAAGAGCTTGACGATGTTACTCGTTTTTGAAACCACGTTCGGTAGTTTCCTGTGACAGACGAACAAATGCACACTTACTCTCTGTATATTTTCTCCCTCCGTTTGTTATAGATGCAGCGCTAGGATTTTTAATTTCAAGGGTTATAAATACATGTTCTTTTCCTGTAATCACCAATCGCTCCCACAGCTGATGAACTTTAATTCTAGTTTAAATAGAGCCAGTGTTCATCGCCAGTTCTCTTCCATGGTTTTGCTAACCTCGAATGGTTCATTTTGCCTTATTTCTTCATTGGCTGAATTTTCTGTGCCTGAGAACGTTTGATTGTGGTCTTTGTTACGAAATTCTTGGTTCACACTCTCTTTCCCTAGGAACTGTGCAGACACTTTGCACTGCCCTTGGCCTGGAGGATCACTGTGTAGATGCCTGAGTTCCAGTGGGTTCTCTCCGCTGCCCTCCTGGCTCACTTTCCCTGCTTGTAAGCTTGTTTTTGTGCCAGGATACATCTCGATGCTGATTGTTCTGTCTCATTTTTTCTTAAATATGGAAGAACTTTCCGCCTTCAGGTTCAAATCTCAGGTTTTCTTCTGTTAGATGTTGGCAAACTTCCGTTCCATATATGTTTTCTTTTGTGTAAGGGCGTCAATTCACTGATATTAGATATCCTTTGTTTGCTTTTAGTGTTTATCACCATCTCTGGAATCATCTGCTCTTTTGTGGTTTCTTTTGTAAGATTTCTCCAAGCCTGTCCGCAATGTTTGTGATTGTTTTTAGTCAAATGTATTCTGTTTGGGTTCCTTTATATCTCTACTTGGGTCTCATAATCACTTCTTTGAAGGTTTTTTTCATTTTGTTTTGTTTTGTTATTTGTTTTGCTTTAAAAGAGAAGTGAGGGGCGCCTGGGTAGCCCAGTTGTCTGACTCTTGGTTTCAGCTCAGGTGGTGATCTCATGGTTCACGAGTTTGAGCCCTGCATTGGGATTCTCTCTCTCCCCTCCCCTGCATGTGCACACACACTGTCTCTCTCTCTCTCTCTCTCTCTCTCTCCCTCAAAATAAATGTCTAAAATGGGAGGAGATATTACAATACATTACAAATTTTAAAGGTGATAATATTACAAATTTTTTTTAAAAAATCCAGGAAAATAACACAGTGCTATTATTAACTGCCTGACACATTTCTGTAAATCCTTTTGGCCGGCAGTTGTTGACTGCCTTGCCATGGATCGCCTCTTCACACGATAGTGATTTCCTATTCTTTTTTTTACAGAGGGAGTAGAGCAACATTTTCGTGTTTCCCTGGAACAGTCGATTCACATTTGCTTTTTATTATTGCCACTGAGGAAAAGTTTCTTTAATTTTGTAAGTGGTTGTTTGTAGCATTGTATACATTTGGGGAATTGTTCTCAAATTTGAGAAAAGCCTCTCAGGGGTCTGTCCTATGGAAGCTGTGAGATTTGGGGACCTCCACAGACTGACTTGTGACCTGCCCACTTAAGACCTTAATCCTGCTTGTTTCTTGGGAAAACCCCTTTTTCGTGTGTGCCGGAACCTAGGATTAAACTGTGGAAAAGACTTTTAAAATTTCTTTTTAATTGCTTTTTTGCTTGTGTTCCTGCCTTTCTTTCCTTCCTGGTCGGCTTTGCTGCGGCGGGCTGGCGTTAGTACTCTGATGATAATTGCTCATCCTTGCAGTGGGCCACCGACGGCTGCAGAATGTCGAGGCTCCGCTGGGCTGGATAACGCACGGCCTCCCCCCGCCTCTCTTCTCCTCCTTCGCTGGGCCAAGGTGGGGCTGCGGAGCTCGAGGCGCACGCCGTAGTGATTGCAGAGGTCTGTCCAGGCTCATGACAAAATTCTTTGGGCTCTCTGGCTTAGGATTCGATACTTGCTGCCTGACTGCATGCCTCTCCTTCAGTCCTCTCCCCGTTGTGATTGTCTGCTATCAGAATGGATTTCCACTGAGACATGTCCTAGGTCTTCTGGACCCGAACACGCTGCTGTTTCTTGTCTTCCTAAAATAAGGATTGCCCGTCCTGACTGTTGGGGCCGTGGCGCCACATTAAGCCGTCGTCGGCCATGGTTGACCTTGGAGCCTCTCTAGAGTCAGGCCTCAGGGCATCTGGCGGCTGTGCTTCCCAGTTTGTTGTCTGGCCTTGTGGCTCTTTCCTCCTTTCATCGGAGATACAGGTTGTGGCTGATAATATGTGTTATTTCTTTTATTGTTTTAAATTCGCTCTTCAGAGGAATGCCTCTATTTTGCCATCTTTACCTAGACAAGAAACTAATCCTGTTGCCTTGAGTTACTTGTGCTCTGTACTGAGTTTTAATTATTGTGTCATCTTTTTTGTCCCCAAAGTCCATTTTCTGATTGTCTTCAAGGCAGAAATTATCGATAAACATTTTTTCTGAGCCTGTGTAAGTAAAAACAAGAGATAACAGTTGGGAAACCACTAGACTTAGTAACCTTCTATGTCACTGAAAGATGACTCAGTTACTTAGGAATTAGAGCAATTTTTCCTGTATGTAGTTCGGACTCCCAGCTCTTAATCACTCCGCGTTTTGCTCCAAATTTGTAGCTATGGATAATTTCCACGAAGCCCCATGCCTTCTCTTGAAAGGTCAAAGAGTGTATAAATCAATGGGGTAGTGTTAATAGAGCTGTGAAGTTGGGAATGCTACATCTCAAAAAGTACTTTGTGTGCAGACTAAACTCTGAAAACCATCTCAGAGCCTGAGAACAGATTGCACAAGCCTTTGCTCGATCTCCGTGAGAGGCGGTCCGCCTAATGAGGATATCTGTTGGACTGCTAGGGTCTGGGTTCGCCTTCAAGACCAGGCCCTGCCTTGACCTGTGATTCAGGACAAGCCCTAACCCTGTCTTACTTCGGTTTCTTCCTCTGGGAAAACAAGGGTACCTCGCCCACCTCGTGGGCCGTGCGCGTATTTAGCGAGATACAGTTTTTGGAAACTTGGAGCACAGCACGGGCCAGTGGTTAGTGCTCGGTGACTGGGTTCTCCTTTTTGTTTCCTTTTCCCTGTGTTTGTTTGCCTGTGTCAAAAACATAGTATTTACCCAGTCCGGTTGATGGAGTCATTGGGAGTGAAACTTAAATAGTAGAGGTAAAAATCTGTCAGAAAGCCTTTTCAGTGTCCAGTGATGTGATCATACATGAAAGACTAAAATAAAAAGTTGGAAAATAAAATATCTTGGATAGCAGATGCATCCGAATCATGAAGTAATAAGGCTTGGCCCGAGGGCTGAGTGCAGGGAGGCTCCAGGCTCCTGCCCCTGGGGCCGCCACAGCCCAGCGGCACTGGCAGGAAGCCCTGCCTGCAGACACCTCCTGTGCCGGCCCACGTCCCCGACCCAGGACTCGGAGACTCCGTGGAGAGGTCACCTCACCTGTGGGAGCGGGTGCCCGGCTGCCTGCCTCGCGTGGGGGGCGGTGTGCCAGGTCCCCGGGAAGCCTCTCTACTACCGTTTGCCTGTGGTTCTTTTCAGTTAGGTAGTTTATACGGTGAACATTAAACTCTTTATTTTCTTTTTATTGCTCTCCCACTTTGATATTTATCTATTATTTCAAATATTCTCCATTAATGAGTTGACAGCCTTTGCCTTCGAGGGGTGGTGGGAGTTCTTGCCGTTGGGTTTTGTCTTCTCTTTCCTGTGTTCACCTCTCATTTGTCATATGTTGGTAAGTGAAGAAGAAATCTATGGATTGTGGTCTTTCTAATATATTATGTGTCTTGTTTTCTACTCTTACTTTATTAAGGTAACTTGGATCCTTCATTAACCTTCTCACCTGCTTATCCACCCTGTTCCTTTTTTTCATCTTTTAACCTACATTCTTCTTTTTTGTTTCCCCTTTTACTGCTTTTTTGGTAGCTGGGGCACTGTTGCAAATTGTTGTAGGTTATCTGCCTCCGGAAACGTCATTGCTTTGCCTCCAAAGGGAAAATGAACTTGGCCCAGTGTTGAATGGGATCATTCCTGTTCTCCTGCCTTCACGGTCCAGTGGAAGGTACTTTATTTCGAGGCGTGAAGACGTGAAAATTTGTCCTTAGTCCGTGTGCTAAAGAAAGCTTTACTAGGGTGTAATCTTGTCACTTCTTCAACTTTTTGCTTCAGCCGCCAGGAAATGCTGAGCCGAATTTGTGGCTCAACTGAAATCATTTTGGCACATCCATGTTTTAAAATTCTCTCATTGGCTTTGGTCTTTTGAATTTTATCTGCCATTTCTTTGGTCCGTAACATCTTTATGTGATTCCATTGTGCGGCTTATTGTTACATGGTAGTTAATTATAAGCTGCCTCAAGTTGGGTGTAGAATAAATCACATGCTTGCTCTCTAATGACCTGCCCCTTTTCTTCTCATTCTCCATGGTGTTCACATACTATTCAAAAAATAAGGGACCTTTAGATTTTCCACAGGATGTGCTCTGTGCAGTAATTTCTGCGTCTCTGTTTTCAGCATGATCTTTCTTCCCAAAGGTTGCAGGGAGAGTAGCTGAGGAAAGGGGTGCGCTGCTGGGCCACGAGGTGGGCTACTGCATCCGCTTTGATGACTGCACCGACCCACTGGCCACGAGAATTAAGGTGAAGTGCTCACACTGCTTTTCGTGCTGTGAACCAAGAAGATTATTGGGGGGAAATTACGAACGTGCAGCCTCACTGCTGACGGGGAGCTTGATGCCATGGCAGAAAGTGTATGAACTCACCCTGCCCTCAGGGAGATGAGTCCGCGGGAGGTGCGGCGCTCTCCCAGAGAGTCCTTGAATCATAGCCCAGAAGGGACCTTGGAAGGAAGGTTAAGCCCTTGGTTCGACAGATGAAGAGGTTGAGGGCCCGGGAGGTTGAATGGCTTGTCTGAGGTCTGTGCCCGTTGGTGATGGAACCAGGCCTCGAGGCTGTCCTTTCTTCCGTGTGTTTTATTGTTTTTCCACCAATTCACACAGCTGTCAAAACAAAGAAACTTGCCTGCGAAAGACTTAACAACAGGGACAAGGCAGTATCAGTTGATAAGCATGGAATTCCCAAAGTTAGAACTTGGCCATTTTTACAGGATGACAGATTTTACTTGTGTGTTCTTTGACTAGTTGCTACTGTTGAAACAATCAGCATCCGTGGTAATCAGTATACAGTCACCGGGGCGTCTGCTCCTCAGGGCAGTGCTGGAGTTGTTCTCATCAGACAGTACTGCAGAACAATGAAAATGCCCTGATGAAATGGAAATTGGTTATAAGAATCTCCATTACCTCTCAATTTGCAGCAGAGGAAAGTTGAAAATAATCAGATGAACCAAACAAGGTGGTGATTTATAAAAATAGGGATCTTATTTTCTAGATTTCTGTATTTTGTTACCTTTGAGATTTTGCCAGGTCAAGGGAACATTCTTCTGTACCATCAAATATATTTAAAGTAGGTAATTTAGCAAATTGTTAAAACAAATGGTCGTTTCTGAGTCTTTCACGAGAAGCTTCTGTATTCCATTTGGCCATCATTTTTAAGGTGCTCTGCTCCTACCTGGTGCCTGTCGTCGGTGGTGGGTCCTCCTTCTCACTGCTCTGCGTGTGTGTGGCAGCTGGTACCAGGCTCAGGATGGAAGCGCATCCTGTTCTTAAACACGAAACAAAAAGTAGAAACACTGAGCTACAGCATGCGAGGGAGATGGTTAGCCTGGTTAAAGTACTGAGCTGTTTTAGACGACATTAATAACGTAGTTACTACTGCATGTTTTTGAAGCATTTTATAAACATTCGTTAATCCTAAATAATAATAGCTGATATTCTTGAACACTGTGTGCCAGGTGCCGTGCTGAACACTTTACGTGTACTGTCTCTCTTAGTTATACCACAGTAACCCTCCGAGGTACATCCCTTTATTATCTCCGTTTTACAAATGAGGAATCAGGCTCAGAGAGGGTAGGTGACTTGCCCAAGGTTCACACAGCTCGTGAGAGGCGGAAAGAGGATCCGGGCTCCCAGCCCACGGACACCACAGCCTTTCTTAACCACCGCCCTATCCAGCCTCCCTAAGATAATAGCAGGCGAAGCCCAAGTTAGCAACCTCAGAGCTGCAAGTCTGAGTTGGAACATTTTTTAAAAAATTTTTTTAATGTTTATTTATTTTTGAGAGAGGGAGAGACAGAGTGCAAGCTGGGGAGGGACAGAGAGACAGAGGGAGACACAGAGTCCGAAGCAGGCTCCGGGCTCCGAGCTGTCCGCACAGAGCCCGACGTGGGGCTTAAACTCAGGAACCGTGAGATCATGACCTGAGCCGAAGTCGGACGCTCACCGACTGAGCCACCCAGGGGCCCCTGGAACATCTTAAGAACAACGGCCTCAGGTTCATGGCCTTTCTTTGCGCAGACAGGGTTTGTCTTCACGGCCATTCATCCACAGTACTGGGAGTGCAGGCCCGGAGGAAGCGGGGTTGAGCCGATGTCAGATAGTAAATGCGGGTGGGATTCTGCTGGAAGATTTGCAGGCCCCAGCCGCGGACCCCGTGATTGAAGTCTTGTTTGTGAACAGTTCCATGGCTTGATAACAAAAATGTCGGGGCATTTCCTCAGTCCTCTGTGGGAATTACCTTGTACGCATACTGGCAAAGAGGCTGTATGCATTTGGTTACACTTGAGCTTTGAAAAAAAATCATGAACGTACAGCGTAAATGAATTATTTCTAAAACTTTGTGTCTCTGTTTTTTAGTTTCTGACTGATGGAATGTTGGTCAGGGAAATGATGGTTGATCCGTTGTTAACAAAATATAGGTAAATGTGTTTTTCCTATGATAACTTCCCTGAAGTTTGAAAGGCACACAAGGAGATTGAGAAGCAGTTGTGTCAATAGCTGGGATTTGCAACTGCCTTCAGTTGGCCCAAAGCTTTCCCTCCTTACCTGGGCTGTTTTGACCTTTGACGCTTTCTCAGAGTTTACTGACAGTAAAAAATGGGCACTTTAAAAGCCCTGTCATTATTTGAATAATCTGTTGACTCGTCATACTTATCTTGGCCACTGTTATATCCCCGGCTTGATGGTGACTGTGGATGCCAGCACAGAAATGGGCGATGTTGGTTGGATATTATATGCAGAGTCCAAATAATTACTTACACTCTGTGTGTCTTTGTCCATTACTCATTAACGTACCAACGTTGTCCTACACAGGCTCTGGGGTATGTTGGGAAAGGATGTCGCATTTGACACCCGTGTATACATGTGACCCATCTGTGCTCACATGTCTGTGCTGTTATCTGCAGCCTAACAGTCTTCGGGTAGTGGGGCCTTGCTCTTAATTCTCTGTGCTTTGTGGGGTTATGTGTTATATTGTGATTTAAAAGTCAGGTATTAGGTCCTATGAGAATCCAGTGTGGGTTATACCACTCTTTAAAGATAGCAAAAAAATATGCACCGTTCTTCACCAAGATATGTCAGTGTCACCATTCTTGTTAGCTGAATAGTCAGCTCCTTGACAAAGACGAGTTACTTAGCTCTCCTTTCGATACAAGGTGATTGCATGGGGACTAGATACCCAGAAGTCCCTTTGATGGTCTGGGTGGGATTATGCAGGTGGTTTGTTTGATGCTCACCGAGGTCTTCCCTTTGATCCTTAGTGCCATCATGCTGGATGAAGCCCACGAGAGGACCTTGTACACAGACATTGCCATTGGCTTGCTGAAAAAGGTGTGATTTCGCCGCCAGACTTTTGTTTTTCTGTTTCTGTTTTGTTTTATTGCTTGGTTAGGAAAGTAATTGTAGCAATTTGGGAAATCCAGTAAAATATGAAGGAAAGACATTCAAATGATCCATACTTCTGCTCACTCAGAGAAAATTACTGGTAGAATGTTGAGACGGTTCTTTCTATTCTTGTGTGTATCTGTGTGTGTACCTGAATCTGTGTTGGCAATAAGAGGCATTGGATTGTATGTGCTAACTTGTATCTCGCACATCTCTCTTAATATTACATCGAGATCGTTTCTCTGTGTCATTAAATAGTCCCCGAAGACATTATTTTTAATAATGGTTATATAGTCACATGTCTCTCTCTTGCCTTACTGTTAGGCATTTGAATGGCTTCCAGATTTGAAGTCTTCAATAATACTGCAGTGAGCACCTTTGTAATGAAATCTGTTGCATTTGTTTCTTTTCTTTTTTTAACTTTTTACTGTAGCAGGTTTCAGGTATACCACGGAGTAAAGAGAGGGGTTTAATGACCCCTCTGTGCCCATCATCCGGATTCACCTATTACAACTCATTGCCAGTCTTGTTTCAGTTTTACCTCGCCTCCCTTCCCCGTACTTTCCGATTGTTTTCTTTGGACGCAGTCCTAATCGCAGGAGTCTAGAGAGAGGTAGGTGATAGAACAGGGTAATTAAAAGCATGGCCTCTGGGTCAGACCGCCTGGGTTCAGATTCTGACTCTGCTGGGTTTACGTATCTCTCAAATAGGGATAGTAGAAGTCTCCATCTGTGCCAGTACACTTTCCCATATGGCCACTAGCCACCCGTGGCTAGTCGGATTTAAATTAGTGAAAGTAGAATTAAAAATTTAAACGCAGTTCCTCTGTCACATTGACTAAATTTCAAGAGCTCTATAAGCATGCGTGGCCAGGGGCTACTGCACTGGACGGAACCTCTCTGTCACTGGAGAGAGCTCTCTGGGACAGAGCTGCTCTGTATCATAATTTATTGTGAGGCTCAAGTAAGATCGTGTACAATTCGTAGGACAGTACCCGGCACGGAGTCACAAATAGACTGTGAGGTCCCACCTTTGTGCAAATTAGAAAAAGATGCCCACACTAAGAGTCTGTCCACAGTTAGGTGAGGGGAGGGTGGTCTGGACTTCAGATGCCCCTAGCCGCCTCAGCCAGGCATCTTTGTGCAGCACATAGGCCACACGGCTGTACGCAGGGACCCTGGAATAGCACGTGACTTAGTTTACGTTAGTTCTGTTAGTTGCCATTGTTCCTGTTATTTTTGTTATTTTTATTCTTTGGCCAGAGATTTATACTTCTGATACTTAGGAGGGATTATCCCACCTGCTTGTATCCTCTTGGGAACAGTATAATAAGGGGCTTATGTCACTGCATCTTTGCCAATCCTGAGTAATTAGCCTTAAATAGATTTTTGCCAGTGTGGTAGATGAAAGAAATGTCATTGTTACTGTATATTTTTGCTGCAGTTTATATGATCGTTGCTTCTCTGCCTGTTGACCGTTTCTTTCTCTGAATACCTTAAGATCTTTTGTCCATATTTCTGTCTTGGTGTTAATGTTTATTTGTTTGCTTTTAATGAATTTTTTTATGCTTTAACTGTGTATACTGTCTGGCTATCCAGAGACCCAAGTATCAGGAAAAAATGGTTTTACCTTTGGTAAATTCAAATTCAGTTCTTAAAGCTCCTTTATGCTTTCTATAGACATTTTTTTTAGCTTTTTATTTTGGAAAATTTTACTACTTACACAGTTAGCATAGTATGTTGAGCCACCTTTTTACCTGTCACTCTATCACCAGCTTATAACTGTAAGCTCCCCCCAGGCCCCCCAAAAATAGACGCACTGAATTATTCTGAAGTAAATTTCAGGGACCAGAGTATTGCACTGTGTCATTGTTTCTTAATGCCTTCTTTTTTAGATTCAGAGAAAGCGAGGGGATCTTCGATTGATTGTGGCTTCAGCCACTCTGGATGCAGAGGTACAAGCATTTCCCCCAGCCCCCGCTGTCCCCTGTAAGCCCTGGGATTGTTGGACGTGTCCATGGGAAGTTACCTATAACGAGAGCTGATCTCTGGTGGAATGGCCTACCTTCCCTGTGGGGCCATCCGATGTCCTAGATTCCGTTCGATCAGAGGATACTCCTTTTTAGCTTGTGGGTGGAAATTAGCCTGTAATCAAGTGAGTTCATAATTACCTACTTGTCTTGTTTCTCTACATACTGTGTTTCTCCCCACGCGGGCAGTTTCTTTGTTACTTTTCTCGGTATGAGGTTATATTTCTTGGATTTATTTATGACTGCAGCACTTATGTTTAGATTTTTTTTGCATGTGCAGTTGAAGTTTTCCCTGTATGTATAATAATTTCCATGTTATTGCTTTGACAGCTCAGCTTACATTATTTTTCTCTCTTACCAAGTAATATTTTAGTTCTAACAGCAGTTCAACTTAGATAATTTTGATCACTTCCTGTATGTAAATATGTAAATAAATATAAGTATAAATATATACTAATAAAGTAAGTGTAAGTATATACTAATATACTGTGCTAAGCACAGTGCTGACTACGGGTGATCGATACCCTCCCTGAACTTCTTGGGAAGCTGACACATAAATAGATGTTTACAGATCAGTATGTCAAGGTGCTGAGACGGCTAAAGCGAGGGCTGCTTAAGTCTAGCTGGCTGGAGGACGTCCAGAAGCTTTCACAGAAGTCAGACATCCCATTTGGGTTCAAAAGATGCGCAGAAGTCTGCCAGATGGGCAGGGGTGGGGAAGGACTTTCTAAGCAAGCATAGAACCATGGGCGCATGATGCCATGTGTCCAGGGGGCTGTGAGGCAAGTGGAGGTGGCAGTCTTCCCTTGCCTCCAGGGCCTATGGGGTACGATCTGCCCCCAGTCCCCTCTCTTGTCACCTCTTTGACTTCCTCTCCGTCCACAGTCTCTCCTGTGCATCTCACACCCGGCCTCATCTTGCTGTTCCTCAGAAAAACCCAAGTATGCTTTTACTCTGGCGGGACCCTCTCTCTAGACGGTGCTCCCACACGTTCTCGTGGCTCCCTCACTTCATCCCGGGTTTGACCGTGTATTAGTCTCTCTGAGAGGCCTTTTCTCACTGCCCTGACTGAAACCGCGCCTTGCTGCTCTCCATTATCGTACTCTGCTCAGTTCTTCCGTTTAGCATTTGTTAGTACCCAGCATTGTATGCATAGCCAAGTGTTCGTTTATTGCGTGTCTCCCGTCAGTGAAATAAAAGTTCCGCGAAGACTGGGACTTGGGATGTCTTAGTATTTTATCCCTTTCACCTGAAACAGTGTCTGGCACAGAGTAGATGCTTTTAGGTTTAGGGAATTTTGACAGAATGGGAAGCCCTGGGAATTAAAATGGAGAGGTTGGGAGGGGTCAGATGATGGAAGGTCTTATAGGCCAAGCAGAGGAGGAAGGATCCACCCCACACCTGGTTGGGAGCCCTGGGATAGTGTGAGGAGGGGCAGTGCCTTGATCACATTTAAGTTCTAGAAAGATCACTCTGGGTGCCCTGTAGAAGAGGCAGGAGTAGATGTGGAGAGAGATACCAGTCAGCAGGCCAGTTCTTCCGTCCAGCTGAGATGTGAAAAGGGCCTGGCCCCTGGCTCCTGGCCTCCCTGTGGCTTCAGGGATTCAGAGAAACTTGGAGAGAGAAAAAACTCAGTGTGTCTAAGAGGGGTGTCTGCGTGTGTAGCCTGGCTGATTTCTCGGACCTTCTCAAGGCCGTCTCTTGTCTTTAGTTGGCTCTTGATAACCTTTGGGTCAAAGCTCTTTGTTGCCCTCTTGAATTACTTCTCACCCCATGGCCTATGGCACCTGCCGGCACACGGGTTAGAGGGCTCTGCCCCACCTCGCCTCCCGTCATTGTCTCCGTGCCCACGTTGCACAGAGCATCTGCTTCTGTTTGACCTCTTACCTTTGTCTCCCCGTCTAAGAATGATTGCCAACACTTTTTATTGTGTTTGAAAATGATGACGTCCCAGTGTTTTCTTAGAATTGTTGTGGAAATTTATTGCTTCCAGTATCCTTTCCTTGTCTTTTGGTGTGGCCCAGAGACTTAAAAAAAAAAACGGCTTCTTTCCATTCTGCCTATATAGTAGTTGATATAGGTGGACTTTCTGGAAGTAGGTTTTTTAAGTGGGAGAGTGGAGTGTAGGAAGCTTGGCGCGGCCTGGGGGTGCTTTATGATGCAAGGCATGCTGGGCCTTCGCTCCTTCACCCACCCTTGCTCAGCTTCTCCCCTGCCAGGGGGAGGAGCCTGTGTGTGTGTGAGCAGGGATCTCGTGGGCAGGAGTCAGTCCTGTGTGACTGAGGGCGTCGGAGGGTGGGAGTGGGCTCGTGTGGGGCGCGGGGTGGGAGTCCCTACGTGAGAGGAAGAGGGTGAGGGAAATCAGTGTACTGGAGTGAGGGAGTGGGGAGAGTGAGGGTCGAGGTGGCAGGATGTGGCTACAGCAGCATTTGCCCTGGAGGCCCAGGCGTGCCAGACCCTCGCCCCTGGCTTCTCAGCTCCTGGCTCTGTGGGCGACGGACTAATTCCAGGCCCCGCTGTCTGGAGGGGTAGATGCCATCTGCTCTGGTTTCAGGGCCTGGGGACACCTAGCCTGGCAGTGAAGACGCCGGTGACCGCGGCCTGGGGGGGGCAGAGGCAGGGCCCATCGGATCGTGGCCTTGGTTGGGTTAGCTGCTTTGTTAATGGAAGCTTAATTGTGCGAGCAATTCTAGAACATGACCAGGTATAATTAGGAAGTATTAATTGACCATCGTATCACAGGCTATTGTTTTTCTTTTACGTGCTTCCATCCACATGGCAGGAAATCTGGTTGCTGACAATGCCGAGGTTTTTTGTCACTGGTCCAGCTGCTTGCAGAAGACTGATTTGTCTTTCCAGATTCCTAGAGAAGGAACTGAGGGTCAGCTGGGGTCAGGTACCCCCTCGGGACCAATCTGCATTGACCAAGGGCTGTGGGCGTGTGGTGTAGACATGGCCGCTGGGAGCCCACTTCTGTGGGTCAGGTCTGGGCAGCTGTCGGGGAGGGGAAAGTGGTGAGCTGGGAAGACAGCCCAGCAGATGTCCTCGTCATTTACACTCTGTTCCAGAGACCGTCCTCTTTTTGTCATTTGATGTTCTGGGCCATGTGTCTGTGTTGGTCCGAGCCCACCTCTTTAAGACTTGACCCACACGCTCCTTTTCCTGGAGCTCCTTCCTCACCTCCTCGCTCTCGCCGCTCCTTCATTCGGCCTCACGCTGTATTTATTTGCTCTCTAGCCCGTAACTCTATGTGGTATGTGTTTTACGTTTCCAGATGAAGATGAAAGGTAATTATCCTGAGGCTAAAAATCTTGTGCCTCCCCAGTAACGCTGAGTTTCACTTCCTGAAAGAGCAAGTCCCTGTCCGTTCTCTTCGGCACCACATGTTCGGAATGAGGTGTAGCCATCCTCCTTGTTCTGCTTGCCTTTTCGGTAACATTCGGTTCTCTTCACCAGGCCCCCCCCCCCC